AAATTGGTGAAAGTTGAAAGAGCTCTCATTATAAACAGCTGTTTTATTGGTAACTATTAAAATCAAGTTTAAAGGTAGAGAAGTATATCTAATGTTTAACCTAAGAACTTAGTTACAAAAAAAAAAAAACTGGTTTCAAAACCTACATTTGCATTTTTCCTTTCCCAACAATTGTTTTAGACATGCTAATAAAAACTTAGAATAAATAATGTTAATTAGGTTGAATAACTTGAAAAAGGATAGTAAAAATGTAGGAAAAAAAAAAGAAAAGGGGCTTATCCCAAATGGATAAATATTTTTATATGGTTATTTGAATGAGATAAATAAAATGGACATTTTTGGATTTAGATACAAGGTTTTCATACTAAACTACGTAAAGTTAAAAAAAAAAAGCCAAAGATATCACCTAATAACCCCAACATTAAAGTTCAAACAGGTCCGTTTTATTTACCACAGTTTAAAATATAGACTGAAATACTTGATGAATGATTGGGACAACAGACCAATTAATCGAATTAAAAATTGGGAAGGGCCTAATCTATTTGGCTCAAACTTTGGGATCCCAGAGACGTTTATATAAATTTAGATACAATGCACGGAAAAAAAAAAGGGGGGGCTTTTGGTACTATTTCTAGAAATAAGAATTACTGATTAAACCTAATAAATATAAAAATTAAAGGTATAAGATTTAACAAAATTGAGATAAAGTTTGTAAAATTGGTATATTTAAATGGGCTTTATATATAACTTTTGCTTAATTATGTTGTGGGATAGATATGTTTCAATGGAAAAATGCTTCCCATTCTTGGTATCATAAGGCTGGGCACGTATCTGTCCCTCAGAAAATATTAATTGAACACAGTAAAGGAAACCAATACAGTTACATAAGCCGTCCAATATAACGTAAAACTAAAAACTAATATTCGGTAGCTAATAAAAAAATATAATAAGAGGTTTACCCTGGGTTTAACTTATAACTCAAGGAAATGAGACCTTACTAAATGCCTTATGCAAGGTTTCAAAGGCAAGATAAAGTAAACCTTAAAGTTTTAAACATGGAATTCTTTGTTTACAGCTCTTCTCACTGATACAAAAAAGCAAATTAAGGAGATACAATTGGGCCTGAGTGACAGAGCAGTTCTCTGGGGAACTGGAAGTGTGTGTCTTTGTCTTGCAGATCAGAAATGTAAATACAGCAAAGAGTGACCTAGGACTGAGCCTAATTAGCTCAACGAGATAAAACTTAAGTCCAAAGAAATTTTTGGCATTTTAGAACTCAGAACTCTGACGGGTCCTTAAGACTTTGTCAAGAAATCTTAAATGTCTGTTTCACAAATAGTAAGCTTTAGTGATTTGAGCAAGCAAATTTAGTTTACTCCAACTATTGCTATACTTATCTCATAAGAAAGTTTTAAAGTGAAGCTATGAAATCTCTAGCTTTTGTCTGTTTAGAAGCCTGCGTACACATTATAGATGTGAGATATTTCTACAGCTAGAAAAAAAAATCAAAGAAAAAGAGCTCTGCTTGATTGGCGTAAAAAATAAGAGCTTACAAATTAAGTATTTTGAAAATAAAAACTGACCAAATTGACCTTCAGCTTCACGTGAACTGGAAAATAGTCAATATTAAGATAATATTTGATAATCTTTAGTTTAAGTATGTTCTAATTAATACAGACATCTTTAAAGTCATCAATATTAAGTATACTGCTTTTACTGTACATAAGTTTAATGAAAGTCAAATAAGATCCTGTTATATCTGGTGCAGATTTGTCAAGAAAATAGTAATGTGGTGTGGTAAAATTTTAACTAAATTAAATGCAAATGAGATGAGAGCTTCAGGTAAATTTTTAAAATATATTTTTAAAATGTATGCTTAAGACAATCTCTAGATGTTTGGTATGTTTAAATTCTAGAGTTGTGCTACATTAAGTTAAATGATAGGATTTTATTAAATAGCTATGCCATTATCAGATAAAATAAGATTGAAATATGAATTACTCAACATTTAACTTCCTCTTACAGAGAAAATAAAGGTGTTTAGAAATATTAATAAATGGTTGTTGCCAAACTGAAATAGTCTCTATTATAAAGGGAATGATCTCAGTATCCTAGGAAAGTAAGATAAATGTGTAAAGGAAGATATAAGAATGGAATTATATTTTGTTAATGAAAAATAGTGACTTTCTCCTGAAGCTGGTTACTTCTGAACGGAACAGAAAATAAGGGACAAACTAATATGAGTATAGAAAGCTGTGGAAGGCTTGTGGAAGAGGAACCCTGAGGAAAGAGTTTTGTACGTGGTCTGAATTTGTTAAGTTTAGAATCAACTTGGGCAAAGTAAATGAATCTTAGATGTAAACGGGTACAAGACTAGATTTGGTTTTCTCTCTGTTAAGAGGACAAAATTTTCTTAAAATTTTAATCCACCTTCAGTAACAAATTGTAAAGCTTCTTATACCACGTACCTGATCTGTTCTGCCTTTACCTTTGACGTATTTTCTTAATGAATAAGTAATACTTAACAGTGATCTATATGTTTATCTGAGCAAGTGTTTTGAAATCTTTTAACAAGCTCCCCAAATATCAATTTCTAATTAAATTTCTTTTAATCTCCAGTTAAGTTTGGGATGCTACAGAGTTCCCCTGAAACATCCCAAAGAGAGTTTTTAAACTAGTAAGTTTCATTTGGTATGTTAAATACATGGTATTGCCAAATGAATAATAAATCTTCTAAGGTTATATTGTATGAGAAAACATTATTAATATAGATATTCTACAAATTATATGGACACCCTAAAATTCTGGCATGTCTAAAAAGTTACGAGTCATGGTTCTGGTTATAGTGACCAGGTTTCTTTATCGATTATAGTGTAATGGTGTTTATCCATGCTGTTAAATATTTTGTCATTTATACACAATTGTTTTCTTCTGGTGATTTTGCAAAATGCTTTCTCTTCAAGGAGATTTACTGGTTTCTAATAAATTTCAAACTATACCACTGAACTAAACTGGGTAAGAAATTTTAAAGGTCTAATGAAAACTGATTAAAAGAATTAGTTACATGGGACTGAGTAAACTGGTGAATATGGTTATAATTTTTGATTTTGTCTGAAATGCTACTGGCTTTTAGCTTGTTTCCCAGACATAAAGAAAATCTTCTCATTAAGCTAGTCATGATTTACAGCAATTTGATAAATTATACCTATGTAAGCAGATTTGGAACAATTATCTTTCTTCTCTAACTGATCCTTCAAGAGACTAAAAACTCTTAGGTCCACAGTGGCTCTATCAGACAAATGAGGAAGATCATCTTCTAACAGATATAGGACTCTCAAGGTATTTTAAGCATTTTTAAAGAGAAAAGAATTTACCTAAATCTGTAAGGCAGAAACCCATGACAAGCCCTTGAAGGGGCTGTCCTGGCCTTAGCCAATCTTATTAACATTCTACCCTGAGACTCCATATTAAAACTTCCAACACAGCCAATTTAAAAAAGCCTATATGATCAAATAATCAGACTTAACATGTAAACAAATTAATCAACATTTGGTTATGTTTGAGAAAAATGAGGGTAACTTTAGGGAGAAGAAAGATTATATTTTAGTGGATATTAAATTCTAGTTTTGTTAATTGACGTCTATATTTAATAAGACACTTCCCAGACCATTCCTTGCTGTTATGTCACATTGCTGTAAAGGTTAATTGAATTATGTAAACGATACTCTACATTTGTTTCTGAAGCTCAGTAATCTATCCTTGGGTAAAGTTCCAATGCCCCATGACCTGCAGCCAGGGGATTATACATACTGGAACAGGCATGACTTAAAGAACTGTCTCCAACCTGAATGGAAGGACCATTTATCAGGTACCCTTAACTAAACCGTTCACAGCAAAGCTGAAGGAAAAGGACTTTCGGATTCATTTCCTATCAGAAACATCCCCTCCAGTACACTGGCCTATAGAGCACTGCTCACCTTAAAACAATGCTCAAGTGGAGAAAAAGCTGCCAGGCCAGGATGAGAAGAAGACGACATCTGAGGTAGGACAGCTGACCCAAGACACCAGACCAGGCCTGTATACCAATTACTTTGATAATTTCTCCTACCTTTGATTATGAACTACTCCAATTGTTAAGTTCATGGTAAATTACCGATGTCTAGTACTTCTGTGATACCTTGGTGGGTTTCCCTTCTACAAGGCTCTACCTAGAGGGCCCTCAGAAACGTTATTCTAAACAGGAAATTATAGGTCTGTTTAGGCCACTGTTGATCTTACAAGGTAGGAGAAATCACCTGGCCAATTACTACCTGCACTGACCCTGACCATAAATATGAAATTTCTCAAAAGATCATTCAAACTCAATCAGAAACACAAGCAAATTTTTAACCCAAAAATATAACTTCTCGACTATTAAATTCTTACTCATGACTTTATTAACGTTACTAGCTGTATTAATTATATCCTGTGTATTTTATAAAATTTTTCTGTTTCATTTCACAATGTGTAACTAGGCCAACAAGACTGATGATGGCTAAATATCTTGAACAAATAGATAAAATTTATAACCCTCTATAAAATAATTGTAATAGTGTGATTCTAGGTATGGGAATGAGCAACGAAGGGCAAACATATCCTGGATCATAATAGACTAGTAAGACAGGCGATCCAGAGAAATTTTAGTATCAACAGGGCCTGATAAAAAAAAAAACCTAACACCTTGAATGGCAGCCCAGAAGATTCTTCAACTGAACTAGGAATGAGCCATCCTAGCACCGTGGGACAAAATTGGTCATGAAATGTCTCTCAAAATATTGGTTGAATTTAGGACCAAGGGGGAGCACTGTGGA